AGATTTATCTGAATGGACAATAGGCCCAGATATCTACCTTGCCGATCAAGATAATATTTTGTTATCGGGGTGGACTTGCACAGAGGAGGAAGAACTAGTGTAATGAATCCCTTTGTAAGCAGTTCTTTTCTTTGTGTTCTGTTTACCCAGTTCTGTATTCTCACTGGTGTAAATATATGTACAATATGTTTTACTGTATGCTGTGATCTATATGTGCTGGCTGTTTCTGCAATAAACTGTTCTTTGAGTTGCCTAGAAGAATCTGGTTGTCTCTTCCTTGTGGTCTCACAGGTATATTGCTATTCATTATCCTCTATAGAGTAATTACTAATAAGAGTATTGCCAGAGGGCTAGATAGATAGAATATTCTATATTAACCAGATACTAGTGCAATATATCCTCCATTGCCAGTGGATAGACTACCAAAGCTGGCAATGGAGAACATAGTGCACTAGTATCTTTTACCTATTCTGCATTACTAACTGGAGGATAGGTAAAAGAATAACACTGATGATGGCATACCTAAACTGGCAGACCTTCAGTGCTAGAGAGGCCAGTACTGCTATATAAATATAAAAATAATAATAATAATAAGCACAGTAACTATGAAAATTTGGGATTTTGATGGATTGATGGGCAGCTATCTGAAATGACCAATTTATAGTTGAAGCTATTCTGTGTTTGTTAAACTATAAAATAATGAACATTGCTGAAAAGCTTTAGCAACATGTAGACTATGCTCATTCAGAAATTAGTTTTCATTAATGCCATTGGCCATTTTATATAACAATTTTCCAAGTAAAACAATGCTGAATATGAACTTGACATATTTACTTAAAAGAAAATTAATAATTGGTTTCTGATGTAGCATATCACTACACTTTTTCCATCTGACAGTAATTCAGAATTGAAAACTCTTAAAAAAAAACCCTTAAAAAACTGGGTCATTTATCTACAGCATATAACATTAATACTTCAGCCACTGGCAAAATAAAAGCATCTTACACAAATGTTCTGCTAATCAAAGCAAAGACGAACAGAGATTGATGTAATTTTGAAAAGGCAGAGTTGCATGTAACATTTTAAGAAACTGAATATCAGCATGTTAGGGAAGTGTCTCTCAAAGTTTCATTAATCACAGGAGACACAGAAGGTTTATGTTAAAAAATAATTCATGTTCATAATGTTATATTGAAAGGATGTCTACAATACAGCTATATCGTGAGCAATAAAAAACTTAATTAAATTTGGATTTGTGGAATGAACCGAATTCTAGTGGAAAAATGTTTTTCAATTTTGTATCTATCTATCTATCTATCTATCCATCTTCTTTCAGCTGCTACCTCCCTCTGTCATCTGTCTTTTCTTTTCTTTTCTTTACTTTTCTTTTCTTTTCCTTTCCAAAAAGACCATTCCACTATTTATTTTACTGATCTTTATTCCTTGGCTGTCACACACCATAAAACAATCTGAGACAAGTGTGTCTTCGGATATCATGTACAGAAAACAAAGTAATTGTCAAAATGATTCATCATAACATAGAAAATGGCAAAATAATCACAAACAGAATTAATGTGAAATCAGTTAAATTTAGATATCACATCATGGCATTTAAAACAATTATAATATATTATAATATTAATATTGACAAACACATCAAACATATTTTAAAGTACATTGCTCTGAAAGCAATAGTTAAACAATTAAAATTGGCTGAAAAGAAAAGATTTCCATTAATAAGGTCAAATTTCAGATCTGTAATTCTATAGAATGTTTAGTTTCTCTTAAAATTAATAATAATTATTAGCCAGATTCTGTGTATAATTCTAGAAATTGACAAAACTTTTTTTTTTTTTTTTTTTAACATAAATGTATACAGATCTAAGCATTTTCTGCCAGCATATTCAGAACTTATTTACAAGGGAATAAATGGGTAAGCACATTTTAGAACGTGTCTCGAGTTCAGAGATAACCAAACTCCAACAGTAGTAAACAATAAATAAAAGGACTGGGCACAGGTCTAAAGTTCAGGCAGATTTACTGGATTAAGAGCAGCAGTATTTCAGCCCCTAAAAGAGGTTTGTCTTGGAGGAGAGAGACACAAAGGGGTATATCTGATATTTCATAATATATGTGATCTACAAGTCCAAGTTCATAGGTCTGGTTGAACATCATGAGTTACCGTTTGAAAATCAATGCAGTGCTTGGTCTTTATATTGGAAAGCTGTGATTCCCATGACACTTTGGTAGTCCTAAGACTTGGCTAAGCATCACATAAAGTGTAGAAAAAGTTGTCCCTCCTATGTTTTGCACTGGGTGTCTAAGGTTTGACTTGGTCTAGAGGTGTGGCAAGGTCATGAGATGCCTGGGGGCAAGTTTTTGTTATTTGCAAATCACCCCTTCAAACCAGTTCCAAGCCACTGAGAGACTGCAGTTCCCTGGCTGAGGTTTTTAATATTAATAATAATATTTATATCCCATTTATTTCATACCATAATATTTGCTTTATATGACAGAGTATACTAAAAGAGTATATTCATTAAAAATTGAAAAAGTTAACTTATGTGAATTGCTAAGGATATTGCAATATCTAGACCAAAGTAGCTGACTTGGAAAGGGTTATTCCTTAAAGTATCAGGAAATCAATTATGCTTCCAGTTTGGCTACTACTTTTTGAGCATAACATTGAAATATATTCTAAATTAAGTTTTGTATCACCAATGATACATTTACCACTCACAGATTCATAGACACACAGACTAATATATAATCACAGATTTAGAGACACATATTCACACACTAACAGATTATTATTATTATTATGTTATCTATATAGTGCCATCGAATTCCGCAGCGCTTTACAATGGGTGGGCGAACAGACATGTAGTTGTACCAGACAAGTTGGACACACAGGAACAGAGGGGTTGAGGGCCCTGCTCAATGAGCTTACATGCTAGAGGGAGTGGGGTAAAATGACACAAAAAGGTAAGGATAGTATTAGACTAGTGACAGTTGCAGAAGAGGAATCAGTCAGGAGCTATTAACAGTTTAATTGATAGGCTTTTATGAAGAAGTGGGGTTTTTTTTACGATTTTTTAAAGGAATGGAGACTGGGTGAGCATCTAACGGAGGAGGGAAGCGAGTTCAACAGGAACGGTGCAGCCCTCGAGAAATCTTGAAGGCGAGCATCAGAGGTGGGAGTACGGACAGAAGATAGACGTACGTCTTCAGCAGATCGTAAGGGCCTAGATGGGACATACTTGTGTATAAGGGAGGATAGATAGGCGGGAGCAGCATTATGAAGCGATTTGAAAGCAAGAACCAGAATTTTAAACTGAGCTCTATATTTTATAGGAAGCCAATGTAGGGACTGACAGAAGGGTGAGGCATGGGAGGTGCGGGGGGACAGGAAAATGAGCCACGCTGCCGCATTCATTATGGACTCATCCACACACAGATTCAAACTCACAGATTAATACTCAAAGATACACACATGTACACACACACACTCAACGATACACAAAAGATTCACAGACACATATCAACACTCAAATATTCATAGACTCCCAGATTAACACATACTCACAGATTCAAACACACAAATTCAGAAAGATTAAAACACATTTTCCTAAAAACTAATATCTGCAATAATTTAAATGAAAGTATATGCAGATTTGTGATATATACAGTATCTCACAAAAGTAAGTACACCCTCACATTTTTGTAAATATTTTATTATACCTTTTCATGTGACAGCACTGAGGAAATGACACTCTGCTATAAAGTAGCATGTGTACAGCCTGTATAACAGTGTAAATTTGCTGTCTCCTCAAAATAACTCAACATACAGCCATTAATGTCTAAACCGTTGTCGACAAAAGTGAGTACGCCCCTAAGTAAAACTTACCAGGAAAGGTTAAATGATCTTAACATGTATAGCTTGGAGGAAAGACGAGACAGGGGGGATATGATAGAAACATTTAAATATATAAAGGGAATCAACACAGTAAAGGAGGAGACTATATTTAAAAGAAGAAAAACTACCACAACAAGAGGACATAGTCTTAAATTAGAGGGACAAAGGTTTAAAAATAATATCAGGAAGTATTACTTTACTGAGAGGGTAGTGGATGCATGGAATAGCCTTCCAGCTGAAGTGGTAGAGGTTAACACAGTAAAGGAGTTTAAGCATGCGTGGGATAGGCATAAGGCTATCCTAACTATTAGATAAGGCTAGGGACTAATGAAAGTATTTTGAAAATTGGGCAGACTAGATGGGCCGAATGGTTCTTATCTGCCGTCACATTCTATGTTTCTATGTTTCTATGTTTCTAAGTGGAAATGTCCAAATTGGGCCCAAAGTGCCAATCATTTTTGTGGCCACCATTATTTTCCAGAACTGCCTTAAACCTCATGGGCGTGGAGTTCACCAGAGCTTCACAGGCTGCAACTGGAGTCCTCTTCCACTCCTCCATGACGATATCACAGAGCATGTGGATGTTAGAGACCTTGCGCTCCCCCACTTTCATTTGAGGATGCCCCACAGATGCTCAATATGGATAAGGTCTGGAGACATGCTGCGGCCCAGTCTCCAAAGGGAGGGATCATGCTCTGCTTCAGTATGTCACAGTACATGTTGGCATTCAGGGTTCCCTCAATGAACTCCCCTGTGCCGGCAGCACTCATGCAGGCCCAGACCATGACACACCCACCACCATGCTTGACTGTAGGCAAGACACACTTGTCTTTGTCCTCCTCACCTAGCTGCCGCCACACACGCTTGACACCATCTTTACCAAATAAGTTTATCTTGGTCTCATCGAATCACAGGGCCTGGTTTCAGTAATCCATGTCCTTATTCTGCTTTTCTTCAGCAAACTGTTTGCAGGCTTTTTGTGCAACATCTTTAGAAGAGGCTTCCTTCTGGGACGACAACCATGCAGACCAATTTGATGCAGTATGCAGCGTATGGTCTGAGCACTGACAGGTTGACCCCCTACCCCTTCAACCTCTGCAGCAATGCTGGCAGCAGTCATAAGTCTATTTCCAAAAGACAACCTCTGGATATGACGCTGAGCACGTGCTCTCAACTTCTTTGGTCGACCATGGCGAGACCTGTTCTGAGTGGAACCTGTCCTGTGAAACTGCTGTATGGTCTTGGACAACGTGCTGCAGCTCAGTTTCAGGGTCTTGGCAATATTCTTATAGCCTAGGCCATCTTTATGTAGAGCAACAATTTTTTGTTTCAGATCCTCAGAGAGTTCTTTGCCATGGGGTGCCATGTTGAACTTCCAGTGGCCAGTATGAGAGAGTGTGAGAGAGATAACACCAAATTTAACACACCTGCCCCCCATTCACACCTGAGACCTTGTAACACTAATGAGTCACATGACACCGGGGAGGGAAAATGGCTAATTGGGCCCAATATGGACATTTCCACTGAGAAGTGTACTCACCTTTGTTGCCAACGGTTTAGACGTGAATGGCTGTGTGTTGAGTTATTTTGAGGTGGCAGAAATTTTACACTGTTATACAGGCTGTACACTGCCTTGCATTGTATCAGAGTGTCATTTCCTCAGTGTTGTCACATGAAAAGATATAACAAAATATTTATAAAAATGTGAGGGGTGTACTCACTTTTGTGAGATACTGTATATAGAGTATGTCTATATTCTTTATATTGATACTAAATTAGAACCTTTTTGTTCTAGAACCTACATTTTCAACTAAAAGATCACCATTGGACAATTTTAGTTGTCCTAAGAGGTAAGGATTGGTAGTTCTTATGCAGCAAAGAGCATTTTCAGTCTAGATTCAAGTAACCACAATTTTTTCACCATGAGTGTGCCATTTGTATTATCGGTTATATGTCTTGTTCTCTGATGTTACAGTAAGTTATGAGTGTCAGCTTACCCTAATGAAGGTCAACTCTACCACAAAATAATAGAATAAAAAGGACAGTTGCATATTTCTGGTTTGTAGAGACACAAGGGACAATAAATACAGACAACCAATATGAAAACCTCAACATGGCAATGTTTTGTTTGTAGTGAAGGTCTAAATCAATAGTGCAAGAGGCTTGTTGCCTAGAGTCTTAATTGCACCTCTGGTAGTTGGGTAGCATTTGTCATAATACTAGAATGTTTACAGCTTAATACTATGCCGTATGGTGATGGAGTTAGAGAATCACCTAAATATACTGTGACAATGTGTATGCTATCTGGCATCTGGTGTGATAACTCAGAGGGGTAAAGCATCATCAGTAGAATCTGTTCAACCCTTGGATTGCAGGTTCATAATCCTGGCAGGGTTGTCTCAGCCCTTCATCTTTCCAAGGTAGATAAAATGAGTACCATTAAATTGGGTAACAGTAACAATCCTTGGATGTTGGGTTAAGGTAACATCCCCAGGACTTACTTGAAAACCAAAGTAATCTGAATGTGCCTTTACTGGTTAAAGACTTTGTTATTATTATCTAGACAGTTTTTATTTCTTTATAAAAAATTTGAGGTTGTCTGTTTTGATGGGTAAATGATAAAACCATGTGAGAATGATTTAAAATAAGCAGACATATCTCTGATTAGCACAAGCAAATGCTGTCCTTCAACAATATTCTGCTCTATTAGGCAAAATAATCAGTTTTACAAAAACAAGAGAAATTGTACAACTGTTGCCAGGAGCACTGGATATCTATCTGCAAATCAGATCTACAATGGATAGTAGCAGAAATGCTGCTATTTTAGTCTCTCTGCAGAGATGAAGATGCTCTAAATGGAGTCCTTTTACATATTTTCTCTGTTGTGTGCAAAATTGGACTTTATGTGCTAACTTCCCTTTATGAGCTTGGCTCATTCCCTAGCCAATGTAACACATCTATTTGTTTTATATGATCTACATTAGTAGTCATCAGAGGATATCATACAATTCCAGCTGATAAATTATTAAAAGAATGAAGGCAATGATTTGCCTATATCATTAGATCGGTCTACAGTTTGCTATGGCTGACATCCTGCACATTACATTGTGTAGGTCCATTCTAAATTTGTGAATTACAAAAAGTAGGTGCCTACTGTATTAGGTTTCATGAAAATTAAACTTGGAACCAACATTCTGAAATTATGTGGTTACTTCACCATGATACTTAAAAAAGCGAACTGTGTAATAAGAATAAAGATAGTAGCTTGTATTTTTTCATAGCTATATTCATACTGTATGAATTGTTCATCAAAACTGTACAAGACAAACTTCCATTTAGATTACATTTTGGCTTTTATTCTTTCATATCTTTCTAAAAATAATTGTAAATTTGTATTACATTTTTCAAACATACATCATTGAACAGCATGCATCATACTCGGCTCTAAAGATTCATAGTCAGAGACTGTGATGGTCCATATTGGAATACGTACAACGACACTCTCAAGTACTAGCAGTGCTGGGTTAACAGAAGGTAATGAATAATATTGTACTAAACCAGTAAGTCAAAACGAATCACGCTGAAAGTACTTAACCTGGCAAAATAATAGAAACAATAAAAAAAAATACCTACAAATTTACAGAGTTTATATATGGAGTCACTGGTTGTTTAGGGAGTATCTAATTCCTCCATGGATCTAATCTGTTCAACTGTAGAAACCCATTCCAGAGGAGAGACAGTTTTGCACAAATACTGAGGACAAGGAAGTGTAAAGTAAATGATATACTATGGAATATGCATATTTTCTTTTAAACTTAGGGGAGGGTTGGAATAAAATTTCAGAAAAAAATTTGGGTGATTGAACTTTCAACACTATGTGTATTAGATTACATTATATAAATAAAGCCGTATTTTACACACCATCCTGAGTCCTAGAAATCATCTTTGGTGAGGAGTTCAACATTAGGTGCAGGAAGTATTTACCCTTCAGATATTTAAGAGGAAGACCCAGAGGTGATATTACCATCATTTATTTTGTGAGTGTATCTCTATCTGTGCAGTCTATTATTATATTATACTGTATTACACATTATATTGCTCTCATTATTTGTGGATTATCACCTGTATCCCCAATGTTTTCTTTGTGTCCGCAAAGAATGTAGCAAGAGACTTAAATGTACACTAAGCAAACATATGCCTTAATCCTAGTGGTAGACTTGAAAGAAATTTTGTATTTTAATAGGTCAATGCCACCCACATATCCTGGAGAAAAAGAGGGATGGTGGAACACAAGTGAAAGTGGGAGGGCCTACTTGGGAGCACATATCCTCTACAATTGATGCAATGGAGTTAAAAGTGGGTGATATCAAGAACAGCACTAATGTAATGGGCCAGGCTGCCAAGGAATTAAGTGAAAGGAACTGCGACCCAACCCTGTTCTAGAGCCAACCACAGCTTGCCAGCATTTCCTCCACACCAAGCTTTAACTCCAATGAACAGTGTGGCTCATTATTATCTGTTATGGTTTGGTTAAAATGTGGAAAACTAGTCGAGGTCTCCTACCATATCTGATGGTAAATGCAAAGAATGTTCATTGTTTATTAGACAGCTTCTCCAGCTGTTTGAGATTCTCACCCAATTACCTCTTCATTCCCCTAACATCTTAACAATAGCTGCTTCTCTGTTAACTCTTTCAGCCATCACCTCCAAACTTACCCTGCTACCTCTTGTCTCAAATCCCCCTGGTATCCTTTAGACTGTAAGCTCACGGGCCATCTAGCTAAGCACTTTGTATAAAAGAGCTCCAATGGCTAGATATCAGCTTACGGGCAGGGCTCTCTTACCTCTTGTATTTGTTTGTGTATATTGTACATTTCTCAACTAATTGTACAGCGCTGCGGAATCTGTGTGCGCTTTATAAATAGCAATAATAAATAAATAAGTAATTTTACTAAGGGGCAGTCCAGGGTTGCCTCATTAATTACGAATCAAATAGTGACAATTATTAATTAACAGCATGTAAAGTGTGTGCAAATATCATAGTAAAAGCATACACCAATTTATTGATATTAAACTTTTCTAGGTGGGATTTTCTTATAATAGGAGGATATAGAGGTAGGGTTTTTTAGGTTAGGAGAAAATAAAGGTGGTTATGGGCTAAACTACATACGCCCTTGCAATGTACAAGGTTGTTAGTGTTATGGTCCAGCCAAACAAAAGTTAACCCAGTCTAACATTAACTCTTTTAGGGATGGAGTGTTAGTAAGTCTCATATTAAACCTCACAGTAAAGTGGCAAATTTAAAGGAGAAAGAAGATTTTAAGATGTAGAGTAATGGAATGGTTACCGAGGGAGAATTTCACTCTTATAATTAACACTAAAATTGGAAAATTTGGAACATGTAGTAAATTCAGTCATCAAATGCAGTAAGGGTCCATAATGAAAAACAGTAAATCATTAGGGTCTGCTAAATTTTTCAAGTGTGAGGATAACTCATTTTTATCTCATGATTCATTAAATGGCATTTCCAAAGTGCTTTAAGGAAGGTATAAATAGGAGCCGTGAAAGCAGATACCCCTGCCTCATTTTAATATGCACTGGATCAGAATTGTTGTAATTTACCCATTTTCTAGCTTGAGTGTGAATACAGAGCTCTTGCCCATGCAAGCAACTAGATCCAAAACCCAAAATGCGTAGAGTATCAAAAGGCAGGGGCTAGTCCATCCTTTCAAATGCCTTTTCTGAATCAATGCTATTCAAAAGAGTAGGACTATGATGAACATGAGCTCCACATATAAAAGTGTATGTACAACATCACTTTATTGGTGTTGTCTTATGCATTTTTTATGTGAAAGAAATCTGGCCTGATCAGGGTGGCAAGCATATGAGAGAATATCTTAATATCAATGATAAAGGTCAGTAACGTCCACAAAAAGTTTGTTCTTTATTTGGTTTGGGAATTAAAGTTATAGTAGCCTCCAAGGCAAAGGAACACAATATCAGAGGAAATGTAGTGAAAATAGTTAAGTTATGTGTGTGACTAATTGAGGGAAGAAAACCTTGTTAATGGTTCATCCAAACTAGCTCTTGCATCAGTGGTAAGGCTTTATGTAAGAAATCAGCTTAAATATTAAATTCTTTATTTGAAACTAAGAAGGCAGGGAGACCATAAAGTGTGGAGTAATATTGTCAAAATTAATCACCTGTATAAGCAGTAAGAAGACTAAACTTATTCTACCTATCCCTAATTTTTGCTTTGTGTGGTTTTTGTAATCTCTGCTTAAGGGCTCTAATTAGGAGTGTACCATTTTTAATATAATGTGTTGAGTGAGCAACAATAGCCGCCTCCCCTTGTATTCTAATAAG